ACCCCCCGAAGACGTCACCGGCATCCGCATCGTCATCGTCACTGATGACGTCGTCAGTGACGTCACTGATAACGTCACCGGCATCAGCATTGTCATCATCACTGATGACGTTGTAGAGAGCTTGGTTCGTGTCACTACATTTATATTTACAATATTTACAAATGGTTGTTAGTTGCAGTGCAGAAGCCGGCCATCGTAGAACGTCCGTGCACCACGTCACCCCGAATCTCAGTGTCTCGTGGCACCCGTCACGAATCGCGTGGTGCCGAAACACACCGCTCTCGCTGTCGTTCCTGTTGTCCTTGTAGCTCGGGGGCTACAGGGGGCTTGGACAAGTGGCTGTGGCCACTTGAGTGGAGTTTGTTTGGTGGTCTCTGGGTGTTGGTGTTTTAGGCTGATGCTGGGACGTTGGTGAATCGAAGGGGGAGAAGAAAGCCGGTTTGAGTCTGTCGATTGTGACGGTTTCGCGTTTACCTCGAACCAACAGGGTATAGTATTTTGGTGATTTTTCCAGGACAGGAAATGGTCCATCGTACAGGTTTTGCTGAGGCTTCCGCCGTGCGTCCTTCCTGATGAAAACGTGTGTAGCCTCAGTCAGTGCAGGATGTTGGAAAACCTTCTGTTGCGTTTGTTGGCGTGATGGAACTGGGCGAAGCGTTGACATTGCTTGCCTTAACTTGTGGACGTAGTACATGGGATCCACACTTTCTGGTAAGGTAGGCGGCTCGATCATGTCCGCAGGCAGGCGTAGCGGAGCACCGTAGACGAGCTCAGCCACCGTACTCCCTAGGTCAGGTTTGAGCGTTGAACGCCACCCAAGCAGCACAATGGGCAAGTTGTCGACCCAAGCATTGGGAGACAACTGCGTGCGAAGTGCTGATTTTAGCTGCCTATGAAGGCGTTCCACGAAGCCATTTGCTGCAGGATGGTAAGCTGTTGTGCGCGTACGGGAGCCGCCGAGAAGGGACGTGAGTTGACAAAATAGAGCGGACTCCAATTGGCGTCCTCGATCGGTCGTCACCGTGGAAGGTACTCCGAAACGGCTTACCCAGGTAAATAGAAAAGCTCTGGCGACCGTCTCGGCCGTTATGTTCTCGAGCGGGTAAACTTCAGGCCATCGGGAGAAACTGTCGACGCACGTCAATAAATTGGTGAAACCGCGTGATGGGGGCAAGGGTCCGACGATGTGCACGTGCACCTGCTCGAAACGTAGGGACGGAAGTGGAAACGCTCCGAGCGGCGTTCCTGTGTGTCGCTGTATTTTGCAACGTTGGCAGGCAAGACAGGAACGTACCCAATCACGAACGCCGGCCTTGACTTTGGGTCAGACAGAACGGTTCGTAATCAGTTCCTGCGTTGCACGGACACCAGGATGGCAAAGCGAGTGTAGCGGCGTGAACAGAGCACGACGTAAGTTATCTGGAACGTAAGGTCGTGGGGTTCCCGTCGACTTGTCGCAGACGAGGGTGACTCCGTGATCTGGGAAAAATACGTCCTCAAATATCAGTGAAGTGCCGGCTTCGCGAATGGATGGAAGCTCATCGTCATCTGTTTGGGCCTCTGCAAGCTCGGAATAGGTAAACTGCGTCTTCTCTGTAGCAATAGCGTTCAGGTCCAAACGAGACAGTGTATCGGCAGAAGTGTTGTCTTTTCCTTTCACGTGGCGCAAGTCGGTGGTGAACTCTGCGATAAAGGAGAGATGACGGCACTCTGGCGGGGAGTGGTTCTGACTGGGCGACTGAATAGCATGAACGAGCGGCTTATGATCTGTCGCGATGAAAAAATTGCGTCCCTCTAGGAAATGTCGAAAATGCTTTACAGCCAAGTAGGTAGCCAGCAATTCTCTACCAAAAGTGCTGTAGCGTTTTTCAGTGTCTTGCAGCTTTCGTGAGAAGAAAGAGATGGGAGACCAAATGTTGTCGATCTTCTGCTGCAAGACGGCGTCAACAGCAGCACTGGAAGCGTCGACCATCAGGCAAGTTAGTGCTTCAGGTGAAGGATCTACAAGCAAGATGGCGTTTGCGAGGTCTTTCTTGATCTTCTCGAAAGCAACTGCTGCCTCAGGAGGCCAAGCCAGGGGTGACTTCTCTGCAGTGGAACTGCAGAGTAGGGCTTCCAAGTGGTGTAACAACACTGCGCACTGTGGCACAAAACACCTGTAAAAATTGACAAGGCCAAGGAATCGTCGTAGAGCGCGTTTTGTTGGAGTTGGACAGTCCAAAATAACCTGGACTTTTTCTGGAAGCGCTTTGATTCCTTGACTGTTAATTTTGTGGCCAAGAAATTCAAGTTGGGTTGTTTCGAACTGGCACTTGTCCGTGTTGATTACGATTCCATGATCGTGGAGCCTACTGAAGACTTGCTCCAAGTGGACCTTGTGCTCATCCGGGTTCGCACTGGCAATGAGGAGGTCGTCCAGGTAAGCAAAGCAGAAGGGGAGACCACGGATGACTTCGTCGATGAAACGTTGGAACGTTTGGGCCGCATTCCGAAGCCCAAATGGCATCCGAATGTATTCAAAGAGGCCAAAAGGTGTTGTTATGGCGGTCTTCGGTATGTCGGATGGCTCAACGGGGATCTGATGGTATGCCTTGATGAAATCTATTATGGAATAGATTGTCGTGCCCGCCAGAAACGATGTACAGTCCTGGACATTTTGGATGGGGTAGTGGTCCGGCACTGTTGCGGCGTTGAGGGCGCGGTAGTCGCCACAGGGGCGCCAGTCGCCAGACTTTTTGGGCACCATGTGAAGGGCGGATGATTAGGGACTGGATGAGGGTCGCACAATACCTAGTTGAAGCATATGCTCGAATTCTTCACGAGCGACACGCAGCTTGTCTGGCCCAGGGCGACGTGGTCGGCAATGAACTGGCGGTCCGGTCGTGAGAATGTGATGCGTTACATCGTGCTTTGGCGTCTCCTCGAAGTTTCTTGGCTTAATTAGATCGGGATACTTCTGCAGGACTTGGGTGAACTCGTTTGGGGGCGGCTTCACGAAAGTTGGGCTAAGCGTTGGAGCCCGCGATAGGACTCCCGACACATGCATGTTTGTGCTTGAATCGATCAGTCGCTTGTTCTTCATGTCAACGAGGAGATTGAAGTTTCGCGAGAAATCGGCACCGACGATCGCGTACTCTACGTCAGCTACCCAGAACAACCACTGAAACCGACGTCTGAGACCGAGGTCCAGGGTCAGTGATTTTTGTCCATAGGTAGCGATGAGGGAAGCGTTGACGGCTTGCAGCGAAGGTGTTTTGGTGCGAATTTTGCGATCGAAAGTAGAGGCAGGGATGACACTTACTTCTGCACCTGTGTCGACCAGAAAACGTGTGCCGCTGATCTTGTCGCGAACGTGGAAAAGGCGGCTAGTAGGCTGGTATGGGTCGCTGGCCGCCACTAGCGACCGCCCATCTTGTTTCCCTGGTCCCAGGAACAGGGAGCCCGACAGTGGCAGGCCTCAGAGCCAAACTGTCGGTGGTATCGGCACAGCGACTTTGTAGAAGGCGGGGGAGATGGTGAGGGTTGACGAGAGCTGTCGCGACCAAAGCGTTGGCCTGCACGGTCTCGCGAGCGCCGTCCCGTCGACCGAGCACGTTGGGAGGATTCCCGTCGAAGCTCGGACACCTCTGCCGTCAGTTTCTCCATAGCCTTCCGGAGTTCGGCGATGTCCGAAGTAAGGTCGGAAGTTCGCTGAGTTGCGCCGATGGTAGGTTTGTTGACCTTTATGATTCGGTCAGCTGGCTCGGCGAGTTCCAGGAGTGGAAGCCTGTGGGCCACAGCTAAACCGACGCGAACGGGGGGCGGGAGGCGCTTTAAGGAAAGCTTTCGAAAGATGGCTGCGTCGATGGAGGCCGCCTTGTCGCCTAGCAAGTGTTGTAAATGACGCAAGAACTGAGATGGCCGACGGTCACCCAGTTCTTCAGCGCTAAGGAGTTGCTGGAGGCGTCGCTGCTCTGAAGCGACGAGGCGACTGACTAGAGCGTCCTTGAGTGTGTCATGCGGAGTGTCGCCGAGCGGCTAGAGGAGGATGTCTCTAACCTCGGTGGCGGCTTGCGGTGGGAGGGCGTCGATAAGGAGCTCGTACTGCCTTATCTGGGAGGTTATTTGGTGCAGGCGGAACTTGTTCTCCACCTGCACGAAGCAGAGTGCTGGATCTTCCGCCCAGAACTTAGGAAGAGTCAGGACAGCGGTAGCTCCGATGGCGAGGGGGGCGTCTTGGTCAGCTCCTGTAGCCATGGCGGTAGATGTCCGGGTCACCAAAAATGTAGAGAGCTTGGTTTATGTCACTACATTTATATTTACAATATTTACAAATGGTTGTTAGTTGCAGTGCAGAAGCCGGCCATCGTAGAACGTCCGTGTACCACGTCACCCCGAATCTCTGTGTCTCGTGGCACCCGTCACGAATCGCGTGGTGCCGAAACACACCGCTCTCGCTGTCGTTCCTGTTGTCCTTTTAGCTCGGGGGCTACAACGTCATCAGTGACGTCACTGATGACGTCACCGGCATCCGCATCGTAATCGTCATCACTGATGACTTTATCAGTGACGTCACTAATACGTCACCGACATCCGCGTCGTCATCGTCATCATCACTAATGACGTCATCAGTGACGTCACTGATGACGTCACCGACATCCGCATCGTCATCATCATCACTGATGACGTCATCAGTGACGTCACTGATGACATCATCGGCATTGTCATCGTCACGTGACCCCAGCTGGGGTCACGTGACCCCCCAAGGTCATATGACCACCTCCCCCCCAGTACCCTTCCCTCCTCCTCCTCAAGAGCTGCGCTCTAATTCGACATCACAGGGAGTTGTAAACGGCTTTAACTTTTTTTGGATTGTATCGTCGGTTAAGGTTTTGAAACTGTCGGAATAACTCACTTGTGTTCTCTTTCTTTCAATCATCCACCATATGTTTTAGAGACTACGCTAAAGACTATGGATAAATGGTAATAACATTGTAATGATCGTCTCTTCGTTTTTGCAGGTAAGCCTCGTGTTGCGGGTGTCTCGTGAATGGACCGCTTTCAGCGTGGAAACTAATGGTTAGTGATCCTCACTCGAAGACGGAGGTCCCATCCCTAACCTTTCAAAATAATCCACCGATGTTTGAGGGTATTTTGCGCTAAGCTCATCGCACCGTTACTTTCGGTGAAGCTGGCGATTCAACTGAGGCATTTTGAAGTGCGCCGTTAGTTAATTTACACTTCGCCTAGTTTTGGATGAGGTTTTACCACAAAAGCTTCACGGCGTATTATGATCTTTTAGTCTTTCAAGACTCTACGTGATTGTCATTTTGAAACTCACGATGACCATAAGAGACTTTGTGGCAAATATGTACAAGGGAAAAATATTATCATCTGGGCGGAATTGGTATTTAATTATTTTGACAATCACATAATATTCATCTGTTAAAAAAAAAAAAAAAAAACGTGGTGTCTCCGCGCATGGCCACGTATGGCATGCTTTTCCGGTCCTGAGCATCGCGTAATACGCCCACACCCTTTCTACACACAAACCCCCATTTGCCCACACCAGGTGCGGGCGCTGTGTGCATGCAGAAACTAGATTTGCCGGATGTGAAGCATCTGCGCATGCACTCTGCCAACAGCAGAGCTACATTATGAATGGATGAATGAATGCGGCTGAACCCTATTAAATAGGGGGCGGCTTGCGCCACCTATAGTCAAAGCTTATAATTTGAACAATTGACTAACCTCCGCTTAAATTCTTATTTAATGGAGAGAGGCAAATACTCTTGCATCGTCGCTAAGCGTGAGTATGCATCCACCGTTCTCCACAACCAAAGGTTACAGTGCGTAGGACGCAGCGACTGGACGTCAGCGCGCGTGTTTGACTGTAGGGGCGACTGTGAGCGACATGTAACACAAAATCTTAGAGCGCATTTTTAGGACGTGGATCGTCGAGCGGGAACTTGTCAAGCGCTTGAACTTACCGTGAGAAAACATTTTTGTGTGTATAAGTCGCGCGTATTAAATGCGATACCATTTCTACGGCCGCCAAATCGTTATAATGTGTGCCTCCGTGCGTTGCGGCTCCATTGCTCTAATAATGGAGAAAAAAAAAAATCTGTTATGGCTCAAAATTATAAGGCCCTTTCATTTCACCGCTGCATTTCGCGGTGTACCGCGAAGGAATATATAGTTTATAGCAATTAGTTTTGTCCGCCAAATTTATTGGGAGCCGTTTTGCCATAAAGCGGAAAAACGGCTCCCAACACAAAACGGAGAATTTTAATTAAAAAAAAAAAAGAAAGAAAGAAAAGAACTGATGAGGAACGGGGGAGTAATCGTCATTGTAGTTTGGCTAACTAACTAAATGTGGTAAAAAACGTTTTCATTATCGGTTTTAGGGTCATGTTTCAATTGCAGCATTGACGGAATTTACACTGATTGTTATTGACGGCAATTATGATTTAAAAAAAAAAAAAACACTCCGCGCCTAGACATTTCTAGGCGCGGAGGCTGTGCTTTCGAGATGACGTGATTTCTCTCGCGTCGTGATAGACTGCGTCTGGCTGAGTAGTTGGCAACATAAAGTACAATCGGTCACTAGTAAGTTTTTACACGCATTGGTCTTTATTCGGAGTTAGGACAGGCCAGCGTTGAGGAGTCGCCTCGTCGGATGCCGGCTCTCCGAACTGAAAAAGAACAAAGTAAGCATGACTTTAGATAACTAAAGTATGCGCGTACATCTCTGATCGCACCCTTTGAGTTTTGTTGTTCACGGGGTAACCTGTTTCGTTTTTGTGTTTCACAAGCCCTTACGACTGCGCCAAAAACTGATTGCCAGCGTGCGAAGAAAGACGAAAAATGTGGAACGTTGTTCATCAACCAGGCCTTACACAGCTTACCGGAGGGTGAAAACGCGTGTCGTGAAACCGCCCTATGCGGCCAGCAAGTGTTCCCAAACGCGTCCTTTGAGAATCGAAACGTTTAGGAGGGACGGGGCAAACAAAGGCACGATGTGGGCAAAGAACAGACGGAGTCCGACACCCCACACGAGACGCTAAACGCAACGGTCGGGGCTACGCACTCCAGGGACCAGCGTGATAGCCTCGTGCACTTTCAGGGCGCTAGAGTTTCTGAAGGCGCTGGCTGTAGCAAAATAATTTGATGGCCTAGTTGGTTGAACATAGTACGCACAATTCTATTTCTTTCCTGTGTTGGTTCCCAGTCGCGCTAATTGTGTGTACTATATTCTGAAGGCGCCTCTACTTGCTGCGAAACAGAAGGTAGATTTCAACATGTGTTCTCACCTTCGGAGTACCAGGCGTCATATCTCGTCATCGTCGTAATCCTCGAAAAATATCCGAGGCCCGGTCATCCTGCGCGGGAGTGAGAGGGGAGCCTCGCGGAGTAATCGTCGGCACCACGGCAAAAGCTTGCAGAAAAGCCGGGACCTGTGGGTTTAACACATAATGCGTTTAATACGCTCGTCTTCCACGAAACACCGTCACGCTAGGCATTTGATCAAGGCCATACCGGTGTTTGGTATTTATTCGAAAGACTACTTTCCACTTTTCCCTCGCTTCCTCCTTCCCCCTTTCTACCCTGTCCACCGTCGCTTGTCTCCTCCTCTCTCATGGTGAGGAGGATGTTCTGCCTTACAGAATCTCGAGTCTGGTCGTCGGCCTTTAAAAGGGGCGAACGTTGGGTGTCAATTCACTTCGTATTCATCAGGCAGAGGGGGAGGGGGGATATTCGTCATGGTAAGTTCACTGATTAACTTGCTCTAACAAGCAGTGGCGGATTTAAAGGGAAAGGGGGGGGGGGCGCGGGGGGAGGGGGACCGCCCTTTTTTTCTCTTTGGAAGGTCGAAAATTATTATGAAAAAAAGGGCACACATTTATTTTCTTGAAAGAAAAGGTGCCTCCATCTTGGTAAAATGGCAATTAGTTTGGTTTGTGACGTAACATTCGTACCCGATAACGATACCCGATGAAGCTGCGATGCATGTGAAAAGACAGCTGAGGTTATCGGGTATCGTTGTGGAAGTGATTGGAACGATCTACTAAAACTTTCCAACAAGAAGCTACAGACTGCCCCGTCCTACGTTTCCTAAGCTGTAGCTGACCATATCTTACTGGCATTGTGATAAGTTCTAGTTGCACATCGAATGCGGCCATCAAAAATGCTCACGATATTGCACAACGTTATATGCTCTTAGATCATCGCTGGAGGCGTGAATTGGGGATGCAAGCGGTCCTTCCGATAAGTCCCGTGAATTTGAGTAACCTTAGTTATTACTTTTTCTGTCTTCGGCAGGTTTTAGTAAAGAAAAAAAGTTTCGCCTATGCAATGATAAACTAATGATCGCGCTCTGCTCCGGTGGTTTGATATCTCCATCTATATTTTTTTTTCATTTGGAGCCTTAGGAAACCTATTTTAGTGTATTGGTTCCGCTGTTGTTTTTTTTCTTAGTAAGGTCCGTGTCTTACTTTTGGTTATTTCATAATCATCTTGTGATACCTTACGTTTTATTACGCTTTGATTGTAAGGGTGCATATTTGTTGATGCTTACTCGCTCAAATATATGGACCACACTTGTCTTAAGATTATTTCTTCATTTTTTTTCTTCTTTTATTGAAAAAAAAGCATTGAATGCTGCCATAATTATATTGCCTTCGAAGCTTTGAAACAACATTCAAGCTCCTCGGCGACGATATATGAATAACATGTTCGGTTACGTTTCAATAATATTTCACACGACCATGCGTACCGTAGAAGCATCTCCTACCAGCGCTGCTTTGGTGGATTGTCGCTCTATACGCTCGTTCTGAAGCAGTTGGCTTCACCTATTTATTGTATGCTTAAAGAACATTGTACCAACTATACCTGCGCAGTTTCATTAATTTTTTTTTTACCTTACGTGCTTGAAAACGCAAGTGCGAAGAGTGCGCAAAATGCTTTTCTTTTACTGACCTTGGAGCCGAGCTGGCACCTGTGTGTGGAAGCAATAATAATAATAATTTAAAAAAAAGAATACAAAGTTTTTTTTTTTTTTGTGGCAATAATTGGACATTTTTGGAATTGTTCTTCCGCAAGTTTATCAAAATGAGAAAGTGCGTTCAGCGTTTCCTGTCGCTTTTGCAAAACGTTCCACCTTAATTTTTTTGTTTGTTGTAAAATCTTATAAGTATAAGAAACGTTTTGATCTGAAAACGCATCCACTCATGAGTTTATGTTAAATCTGCGTGACTGGATGTCTGCGAACTAATCAATAATTAATTTTAATCAATCTTTGCATTATGATAATGGTGCATCACTTTTATTGATTTAACTGTTGTTTCCTGTCTTTTTAGGTTTTACTCCATGTATGTTTACAGTGTACCCCGAGAGGTTTTTTTGTGGGCACAAAAAATAATCCAATTTGTTATTATTATTATATTGATGATTTATTATTTAGTTATTTTAATATATCGATGAATATTATTTATTATTATTATATCGATGAAGAGGCCTTATAATATCTCATTTTTGGTTTCGTCATAATTGGTGTTGCTTCCTCACATGAATCTTTTTTTGAGTCAACATTTTTTTGTGTAGTGTAATGCAGTAATGTCTGTGTATTTGTGTGTGCGCGTATCTGCGTGTGTGTGCGTATCTGCGTGTGCGTGCAGGTGTATGACTCCTTCTATCATCAAGTTCTTATACGATACGACTGGAACTTAGCCATACCTCTTTTTTTCCCTTCTACTAGAAAAATAGCTTATATTAGTATTGTATATTATTTTCCTTGACTCTGAAAATAACTTTCTGACTGACATTTTTGTGTAGTTTTCACAACTGAAGAAACCATGTGGTGTTTTTCTGCTTTATTTTATTATGTTCCGAAACTCTCTTATTTACCACTGCTACTTAATTAGGTTCAGTCCTACAAGCCCCTGCTGGCTTCGACGAACCTGCTATAGTGCCGTCCTGAATACATCCTGCGTACATAAATTTATTATTATTATTTTTTTTTCTTCAGAAAGGGAAGGGGGGAGGGGGGAGCTTTAGTATGCAGTTGGAACTGTTGCAAAAACTT